CAGGTAGCTTGGTTGGTGGAGCATCATCCAGTACACCTAAAGGTTGCAGCTTTGATTCCTGGTCACAGTACATACCCAGGTTGCAGGTTCCATCCTTGTTGTGTGTGTGGCATGTACGTGAGGCAACCAGTTGATGTTTCTCTATCACATGGAGGTTTCTCTGTCCTAGTGACACAGCTTGCCATGACACTTGTTACGGTGGTATGATGGGCATTATTCTGCCCTGGAAGAGTGTGTGAAGAGTGCAGCAAAGATGGATAGTGGTGGCGTTTGGAGGGAACCTGACTTCGCTGCATTCTTATTAAAACTCTTTTCATAAGGAAGATCACAGAGGAGCCTAGGACAAGGGACAGGGGCCTGACTGAGGTATCATGAAGCAAGGAATCTTTGTCATAAAAACTGTCAGGGTAAGTTCTTCCAGTGTGGTGCTGAGGTACAGCTATCACACAGTTCAGAGGTACGTGTGTCCTAGCAAGTTGGCAAGGGTCCTCCGTGGGAACTGTACCTTCTGTGGTACCACTGGGGGCAGTCGAAGAACAGTGCTGTGTAAGGTGTGGTAGAGGGAAGTGCGCACAGGAAAAGGGGGAGTAACAGGAGTCTTTCTGAGGATGCAACTGGGTGATGAACTATCACTTGGGTGACGGTAAGGGATGAGGGTCCTGACCAGTTACCCAGGGAGATCAGATATGGAGGCAGCAGTTTAGAGGAAGGTGACTTAGCAGGGTTCTAACTGAAATTGATTATTACAAGGAAGTACACAGGCAAGCCTCAGAATATTAGTGAACAAGCCCAACTAAAAAGTACAAAGAAGCAAATAATCTTCATCACAAAAGATGGCCACAAGCCCTGGCCAAGTGGCAAAGTTGATTAGAGATTCATCCAGTACCTCAAAAGGTTGTGGGTGCAATCCCAGTCAAGGCACATACCCAGGTTGCAGTTTCAATCCACAGTTGGGGTGCATAAGGGAGGCAACCAATTGATGTTTCTCTCTCTCACATTGATATTTTCTCTCTCTCCTTTCTTCTCTCTCTGAAGTCGATAAGCATATTCTCAATAGAGGATTTTTGAAAAGGATGCCACAGAAACACCTGGAAATAAGTGCCAAGGTGTATGGGACTTCAAGGGCTGAGGTACAACTGTAAGTTTCCAAAGTATGTTAGCCCAGTGCTGAGGTACATCCTCTATACAATACCAAGGTATATTCGAGGTACAGTGCTGGAGTACAACCGTGGGATGGTTCCAGGGTACACCCGATACGGTGCAAGATTTACCTGCAGTTGCTTATGGAGGTTGTGCTGGAACTGACTTAGCAGAGTTCTTGCTGAACTGGATTTTACAAAGAAGTGCACAGGTGATCCTTTGGCATTAGGGAGTGAGCCTGACTAAGAAGTATTGAGTTGCGCAAAAAGTTGCTTCATTTTTTTTTCTGTAAGAGGGCTTTAGTAGTGCTTAGTTGTCTTTAACTTTATTTGAAACAATCTTGCTAGATTGCATTGTGACAACCATCATATCCATGTGCATTTTTTTAAAATTTATCAAATCGGTGACTTTCCCTGCAGCCATTTTGATATTGAAAATGGAAGAAGATACGCAACATTTTTGGTATATTATGCTTTATTATTTCAAGAAATGTAAAAATGCAACTGAAACACACACAAAAAAGATTTGTGCTGTGACCGATGGAACGTGTCAAACATGGTTTGCCAAGTTTTGTGCCTAAGATTTCTTCCTAAACAAACTCCACAATCAGGCAGACCAGTTGAAGTTAATAGCGATCAAATCCGGACACTAATGGATAACAATCAATGTTAGCCACACAGGAGATAGCCGGCATATTCCAAATCATAAATTTATTGGTGAAAATGAAAAATGTGTCTTTTATTTTATGGAAATAATCAGACGGACCATTAGGCCAACCCAACAGATTGAAGTAAGAATCTTCAACCACAAAAGACTTCCACCTAAGACCTGGAAGTTAGTGCCGAGGTTCGCCCGCGGTACCTTGCCGAAGCGCACCGCGGCCCTAAGGCGCTGGGGAGCAACAGCAGCAAGGCTCCCAGGTTCCTAAGTGCTTCCCGGCACAGTATGGAAGTTCCTCTGCAGCACAGCATGTGTCTGAAGGACAGAGCCGAGGTGCCTGCCAGGACTGGTGCTGCTTGTTGTGCACCTATGATGCGGTTCCAGGGTACACCTGGTACCACGCCAAGGTCCACCTGGGGTTTGGTATGGGGTTCTGGTGAAACTGACTTAGCAGAGTTCTCCCTAAAAGTGAATTTTATAAGGAAGTGCCCTGATGAGCCTAGAAGGTTAGGGAGCGAGCCACATGAGAAGTTTAATGAAGCAGAGAATCTTTGTCATAAAAGTATGCCCTAGTAAAACCTGGAAGTGCAGAGGTATGCTCATAGTTAGGGTCCCAAGACATTATCAAGAGACCCAGAGGGGTGGGGAACAGAACCTCAAGGGTATAACTGAGGCAGGCTCCAGACCACTGCTCCACACACCAAGGTGCTGCCCCACCCCCGCAGGTCTTCTGGCTACAGTGCTGCTGGAGGCTCTGCCCTGCTTTCCAGAACTTTGTTTGCCCTGCTGCAAACCTGCTCCAGTGATTCTGCCTGGGAAGACGCTGAGGACTCCCTTGCTCACCGTGCTGTCTCCAGGACTCACTGACCGAGACTCTGGGACTCGGGGTTCGGATTTGTTAGCTCCCAATTTTCTTGTGTAATGTTGTACTCATTGCATCTGAGTGATTATAATTGTCATTAAGTTAGTATGGATTTGGAATCTGCATTAATAAAGCTGGCCAAATCTACGTTAATAAAAGCCGAGTGAATCGCATAGTCACCTGTGTTAGCTTCCTGTTATTTCTCAGTGCGGGTGTCACCTTTAGGATTGGCAGTCGCACAGGTGGCTCGGCACTTTCGGTTCTTAAGGGCCAGATCAGATGACCCCCCCTGCGACCATAGGCTGGCTTATAGGAAAGACTGTATCACGAAACGCATGCTTGCAAAAAGGAAGTGCACAGATGAGCCTTGGAGAACGTCAGGAAACGAGCCTGACTGAAAAATATAATGCAACAAAAAATATTTGTCACAAAAGTATGCTGCAGTAAGACCTGGAAGTCAGTGCGGACAACGTCCGCCGTAAGGTTCACCCGCGGGTACAGTACCGAGGTACGCGCTGCAGTACTGCCTCTGGTACCACTAGGGGAAGCCAGAGAACAGTGCTATGTAGGATGCTGTGCATGTAGTGCGCACCGGGAATAAAGTGGTTTCTGGCTACACGAACCCAGCACCTGTCTTTCTGAAGATGCAACAGGGGATTAAATATCACTTGAGGGATGGTGAAGGATGTGGGTCATGCAGGTAAGCAGGGTGATTGGACATGGAGGGCGGCGTGTGTGTGGGGTGATCTGATGAAACTGATTTTTCAAGGAAGTGCACAGATGAACCTAGGAGAAGGAGCGAGCCTGACTAAAAAGCGTAATGAAGCCAAGAATCTTCACAAAAGCGTGCGACTGGAAGACCTGGAAGTAAGTGCCGAGGTTCGTCCGTGGTTGGTGCCGAGGTGCATTCGCTGTACTGGTTAAGGTACAATGTCATAAGGTTACTAGGTGTGTCTGCTGTTCGGTGCTGAGGTGCTTCTGTGTTACAGTGCCAAGGTCCATCCGAGGTACAACTCCGGAGCGCACTGTGGTGTGGTCCCAGGGTACACCTGGTTCAGTGTCAAGTTACACCACGGTGGTTAGGTGTGCGGTTCTGGTGAAACTACTTAACAGAGTTCTTGCTAAAACTGGATTTTATAAGAAAGTGCAGAGATGAGCCTAGGAGAATTTCAGCAGCCTAATACTGAATTGACCGAAAGGTTCATTTATTTTTTTTTTTTTTGTACAATGGTTCTAGTAGTGCTTAGTTGTCTTTAACTTTATTAGAAACACTCTTGTTAAATCGATTGCATTGTGACAGCTGTCATTATCGGCATGCATTTTTAAAAACTTATCAAAATTGGTGAGTTTTTGTGCAGCCATTTAAATATTAAAGATGGGAGAAAATACACAACATTTTGGCGTATTATGCTTTATTTTTTCACAAGAGGCAAAAATGCAACTGAAACACACAAAAAGATTTGTGCAGTGTGTGAAAAAGGTGCTGTGACTGATCAAATGTGTCAAAGGTGGTTTGTGAGGTTTCTTGGTACTATTGACATTTTGGCCAAAAAATTCTTTGCTGTGGGGATGTCTTATACATTGGAAGATGTTTAGCAACGCCCCTGGCCTCTACCCACATGAAGCTAATTGCAGGAGACAGCCGACACACTCAAAATATCCGAATCAGTAAAGTTATTGGTGAAAATGAAAAACGTATCTTTTGTTTTATGGAAGAAAACTAAACGGACTTTTTGGCCAAACCAATAATGTGTCACTAAAAGAATGCCGTGGTCCGATGCTGTGATATGGCACCTGCAAAGTGCGGTGCAGTGCTGCTTCATGCCTACCGCATTGTGGTTGGTTTGTTTGTTTGTTGTGTTGCCATTATTCTCCAGCCTAAAACTGGGGAGTTCTTAAAGTTGAGTCTTCCCGGAGCCACCATGTAGGGAGCTGCTTGTAGCGCCACATAGTGTTGCGCACGAACCTGCGTGAAGTCCTGCGGAAGGCGCTGCAAATATTGCCTCACGTGGTGTGTAGGGCAGAATATCAAGAGTCTGCGACTCACCCCCTAGCGGTAGTCAGCATTTTCTCCAAGTTATGTGCTCCCATGAGCACCTGATAACCCACTTTCCCTTTTCTCTCCCAGCTTTTTTGAGTTAAATTGCTTCCGCAGAGGGGCGGGACTGTCCCTCAAGTGTCTTGGATAATTGTGGTAGTGGGCAGCTCCCTCCTCGTCAAATCAGACCTTGCTGCTGTCACAATCGGTACCCCAACCCGGTGGTGCATATGGCATCGCATTCGTGGAGAAGTACACTCTCAAAAAAATAAATGGGCGACTTCACTGCCACCGGATCTGCCGGTGAGAACTGTGAAAAGATGTTCTTTACAGAGAAAAAAGAATAATAAATAACGTCAGAAACTCAGATCAACACAGAGAATAGAAGAGCATCAAATGAGTAAGTGAGGGTAAAATTAAAACTTTTATTTTTCTTATTTTTTACTGAACGGTTCGTTTAAAATGTTAATATCAACAATGTATTAAATTATGTATGCTCATGCATATATATCGTGTGCGTGTATGCGTGTATGTGTAAATGCTGTGTGTGCACATGTGTGAATGAAATGAATAACAGTGATACAAGGGGTAGAAGGGGGCAATGAGGATTATTTTGTTGATATAAGGTTCTCACACTACCCAAAATTGTAGGGAGTTATTGGAACGTAGACTTGGATTTGTTGTAAATGTGTATTTCAAAGTCTAGAACAATCATTAAAAAAAATTAAGATATTAAATTAGATGTTAAAATTGGCTTGAGTTAGCAAGGAAAGCTATAGTCCATCTTCAGAGGTCTCACTGAAAATAAAAATGTCCATGTGTATATATATGGTGCATAATAGATTCTAAATGCTTTTTGAATGTATAAATATTATAAAAACCCAATTAGGGGTATTTAAATAATCACCTGCATGAATGAAAAATTCATGTGATTGTTTGATATCCTTATTATAAAATGTATATAATTTTACATAATTTTATTATGTAAACTAATTTACATAAAATAAATTATTGAATTTTAATACAATTAAATTATTAAAATAATTACATAAAATAATTTTAACTCCCCCCCTTCCTTCCCAGCTTAGTCAACTAGTATCTATTGTGAATTTGATAGCTGGTGGGTTTCCTCGCTTATATCTGAATGTACATATAACATCCCAGAACCGAAACTTAGTTCTACAAAAGGACTAATATAACCAATAAATTTTCACCAGAGAAATAAAAAAATAATTAATTAAATAATTAAATAAAATTTAAAATATAAAATGTATAGCTGATATGCTAAGAAAGGAAGGAAATGGAAGCATATAAAAACTCAGTTAAAATCACAAAAAGAAAGAAAAGTGTGGAAGACAAAAATAAGAGCAAATAATAGTGACAACAAATAGAACAGTAGTATCTGTGGTAGATATTAATCTACTACATCAATAATCACTTTGAATATCAATGGTCTAAATGACACCATTAAAAGATATTGCCAGAGAGGATTGAAACAGGACCTAATTGTATATTGTCTACAAGAAGCTCACTTTTTAAAAAATGTTTAAAGCCAAGAAAAAGGAAATTTTTCATTTAAAAGATCTAATGTGAGCCCTGGCTTCTGTGGCTCAGTGGACTGAGCCAGCCTGAGAACCAACCTGATCAATTCCCAGTCAGGGCACATGCCTGGGTTGGGCGCCAGGTCCCCAGCTGGGGACATGTGAGAGGCAACCGCTGGATGTTTCTCTTACACACTAACGTTTCTCACCCTCTTTTTCTCCCTCCCTTTCCCTCTCTCCAAAAATAAATAAAATCTTTAAAAAAAACAAGATCTAATATTATAAGAACAGTACACAGAACTCTAATGTGGCTGTGCTTTCCACATGATATCCACTGTGCCACTATCTGTGGTATATATACACAGGCTGTGTACTACATGTTTAATGGTTTGACATGAGGTCCATGGTACCTTCATCTGGTTAGGCAAAACATTCAGTTTCAGGAAATGATTAATTATGAGGAGTGTTTTTTTATCTATAGTTCAATTGACATTATTCAAAATTACAGTCTCTCCAGTGATTTAAGACTGTGAGGTTGCTATATCCCACCCAAGAAAACCTCACTCAGCACTGCAGTTGAAAAGTAAGGCTGTTTTGCTTTCTAAACATAAGAAGTATGGCATGCATAAGTACATAAACATTTAAAACCTGATTTATTTAATAGGTTTATGATATAAAATACATATTCTGTGCATGTTGAGAAAAACCATCCATATCTCTGATTCCTGTAAGAATACAATATCAGACATTCTAAGTGTTAATTTCTGTCAGCTATGTTGGAAATAATAGTATGAATTTTCCAACTATTAAGATTACATTTTATTGGAATTTTTTAATGAGTGTCAGCAATAACTTAATTCTTAGTCTTTTGCTGTCTACTATAAAAAACCATGGAAAATGAAGAAAATTGTTTAAAGGAAAAATTAATGTCCATTCTTTAAAAATTCCCACTGTACTTTTTCTCAGATGTGCATTTTGCTCCTACAAGCCACACCACCCTTGGGAGAGCACATATTTCACCCATTAAACAGTTCACATCCCTCTGTGTTCCAAGTGTAGCCTCTCGCACACCCACGGAGGGGTTCAGAGAAGGCTGCCTGGTTGCTATTATTCACAGGCTTCTGCAGTCATCACCTGTAGTAATTCACTGTAATAATCTGTGCAACCAAGGTAATTTTTAAATCACTTATTTGTTTAGGGATGTCTTGGACATAATTCTCCCCAAAGGGAATTAATAGCCAACATCAATAATTATGCTGCGGCTCTGAAACCAATGCTTTAGGATGTTCAGAACAGAAACTTTCATCTCTCCTCTGATTCTACAGGGATTAACCCGAGTTTGAGCTCAATATTGCTTATTTTGCTTGTTGTGAAAGATGCAACTATAATAAACAGGTTTAGAAGAAAAAAAACTACCTTTTGATCTCATATGAACACTACCTGTGAAACTGTAGTTTCTCCAGGCTCTTGTTGGTATATGGCTTTGCAGTACTATCCCTTTGGGCACCTTCTTAGATGTAATGTGAACTCTGGCACATTCTCATATTTGTTAGAACTTCTATAAGATATCATCAGGTAGAAAACTTTCACCTCATTTTCCAACAACTATCTAGGATCACTTAGTTTCAACTCAACTCCTCAAAATAGCAAATGAGAATCACCTCTCAAGCAGTGTATGGCTGGCTGGTTAGATTAGCTGAACCCCTGCACTGAAGCCATGCTTCCACAGTTTTAAAAAAATCATATTATCCAAGAGGTCCCCTTTATTTTAACAGTTGGTAAGATTTTATAAGTGGTATGTGATGTAAGGAACTGTTTTTAAAAATCGAAATTGTTTTCTTTTTTATTACAGTGTAAAACTTTTATATTTAGAATTAGCCGGCTAGACTCAGTTTAGATGATCCCAATTTTGCTGGCAACCTCCAAAGCATCCTAGTCGGGAGCCAGTGGAACATATGCCTCCTTCTCCCCATTAGGCCTAATCAGAGTGTTGGCCTTGGCCACATCAATGTCATAGAGCTTCTTCACAGCCTGTTTGATCTGGTGCTCGTTGGCCTGGACATCCACAGTGAACACAGTGTATTATTGTCTTCTATCTTCTTTGTGGCTGACTTGATAGTCGGGGGGAACTGGATGATGGCATAGTGCTCAAGCTTGTTTCTCCTGGGGGTATTCCTCCCAGGATACTTAGGCTGCCTTCAGAGCAGTAGGGTCTTTGGCCACCTGGAAGATGAGTGACATGTGGATCTTCTTCCCCTCCTCTCCCCTCCCCCTCTCCTTTCTCCTCCTCCACCTCTCCTCCTCCTCCTCCTTCTTCTGGCTGTAGACACCTTTCAGCATTACTTTCTTTGCCTTCAAAGCCTTTGCTTTGGTTTCGGCTTTGGGAAGAGTAGTAGCTGAGAGAAAGAAAGAATATGAGGGTACAGGCCTTTTTTTTTTTTCAATTTAAGACATATTTACTGAGCAACCACCATGAGTAAGGTGTTGGTGATAGAGCCTGTGCTACTTGGCTGTTATGCTTCAAAGGGACCGGTGGATGGTTTACTAAGAGGGGTATGGCAGAAGGATCTCGGTTGCAACACATACTCAAAACTAATGCACCTCATTACAGCTTTAAAAGTGAAACACTTTGAACTTCTGATGATTCCACTTCCTCCTCAAGTCAGACCTGGTGCTATCAGAAGCAAAAGTGTAGATGATGGATTTATAAGACAGATCCCATCCCTGAGACTGGGTCAAAGTAAATTTTTTAAGACTTTATTTATTTTTTAGAGAGAGTAAGGGTGGGAGAAAGAGAAGGAGAGAAACATCAATGTCCCAGGGGACCTGGCCCAGAGCCCAGGCATGTGCCCTGACCAGGAATCAAACTGGCAACCTTTCAGATTTCAGGCCAGCACTCAACCCACTAATCCATACCAGCCAGGGCCAAACTAAAGTTTTCAACTGCCAGCTGTTGCTCTTGGGAAAGGTACACTGCAAAAAACACCCTTATCATTGATCCAGATTGTAGAAGGATGAGCAGTGCTGTGGGAATCTGAAATGGTGCTGGTGAGAAGACAGAGCTGTCTGACTTTGAAGATTTGAGATCAAACAGAGTTCCAGAGGAATCTTGTATTTCCTCACAAAGTCCACCAAATCCAGGGACCCTCCCTCAAAGGAGCTGAGAAATGACCCATGCCCAGCTCTGTCAGAAAGCAGATCCAGGAGTCTGGGAATTCTCTGGAAGATACAATGCCATCTTCAGAACTATTGGGTTGTTTGTTTGTCTGTTTTGCTTCTAAAAGAGGTTCAAATAAATCTTTGGCTTGTCCTGCTATAGGGTCTCCACTGAGGTGAAGGCCAAGAATTGTATCTTCAGTAGAAAGGAAGAATTCTACAGAAAGTTTAAGTCTCCCTGGCCACTGAAAGGACCCTTCTTCTGTCAATTGATATCAAATACATAACATCAGTCTCTAAGTTTTCTTGTTTAGACTGTTTTATACCCTCATGTACACATTCCACATAAGTCTTTTTAGTCATTTCTGCAGCATTTTCTCATCAGGCTGTGTCCCTTAGGTCCAGAATTTATAGCTCATCTGCAAATTCTTTAATGACATCTTTTGTGAGCATTAGAATATCATAAGGGCTAGTAGTAAGCTGATGAATAATCTGAAACATCTGGAGACATTCTTCTAAAGTTCTTTTCTTTCCCTTATAAATTATAGTCATCTGATCATGGATTTTAAGACCTGATTTCTTAGCTATTAATTTCTTCATGATATTTGAACTAATGGATCCATTCAAGTGGGCATGAAGTTCCACTTAGAGACCACTCTTTTTTTTTATTCTCACCCAAGGACATTTTTTCATTGCTTTTAGA